TGGTGATTAAAAGTTGAAGCAGCATTACATCAATTGCTGCCAGAGCATTATATTCTATTAACATATTCAACACAGGCCGGTCTTTTGTTATTTCCAGGGTGGTCTCATGGGTCAGATCAGTGGTGGGATTCAGCCAGTTCGCACCACTTTGGGAGAACCAGTTGTTAAACTTTCTGAGCAGTTTGGTGAACTGGTTGTTGGAAGAAATCATTAAGGCAGAGAACCTTGAGTTTGACACCCCCGGTGTTGAATATGTTAATAGAATATAATGCTCTGGCAGCAATTGATGTAATGCTGCTTCAACTTTTAATCACCAGGGTATGATAATAAATAAGTAAAGGTAAAAGTCTTGAACCCAGACTGTCAATTTTCCAGCTGACAAGCTCAGCGTCTTTAACCATTGCGCCGTCTCTCTCCAATAATAAACAGTCCTCACTTTTTATTCAAGGCAACTTCATCTTTCAAAGATGCATTAATCCCAATGAACAGGTCCTATTGTTAAAGCAATGTGGGACTTGTAGAAGGCTTTGCCTACGGCAACATAGGCCTTCTGGAAAACTAACTCTGAAGTGGTTTTGGAAAATTTGACAAAAATTTTGGCCTTTTTCAGCAGGGCCTGGCTTTTGATCTGACTCCCATATACATTCTATAGTGCTTTGTAATGAGTCTTGCAATTTGCCCCAATGCAATTGGTAATCTCACTATTTATTATCATTTCACCTTTTCATTTGTTGCTTTAATCCTAACTATTTTCGCCAATGACCTAGAGTTGTGATTGCAACTGAGGCAGACTAGAAGTTTGATTAAATAAATAAAAAGAATTAGGAAAGTAGACTTACTATTTCCAAATAGAGTGTTCATGTCCTCAGGTTTAGACTGCAGAAGGTGAAAAGGATACCTAACCATATGGCTGAGCTACAGTCATACCTAAGGTGAGCTAAGAATGGATGGATGAATTGGATAAGCTAAACAATCTAGAAAAAGAATTCCTTTCATAGCTGAAAAAGGCCCAATGGAGCAGCACTACAGAATAATTTTTTAAAAAATCTTCTGTCCTGAATTATAATCAGCCTTCTTGTCATATCATCACCTTCGGCTCCTCAGAATATTAGAACTCCATGCTTAAATAATTGGAACAAGAATACTTGGAATCAGCTATGTTTCTAATGCAGATTTTCCCATGTGACAAAGAAGTTCTGTTCTCTTCCTATTTTTTATTTTGCTTATTCTTCTTACTTGCTGCTTTTTACAGATACCAATATTATATAGTATATATTTATATGCTGTTTTCTTTTTAATAGAGATATTGTTATACTAAATTACTTAACTGGACTGTCTTTAATCTGTGTAGTTCTTTTAATACTTTTGCAATTGAAGTCTTCAAATGTACATTTCTGTAAGTTTTCTTGAATGCCTCCTCTTCCAGAAATCAAAAAAAAAGATCCAAATGTTGTGATATAATAATAATATAAATGCTCCAGTATAAATGTTTCATAATAATAAAAATATTGTGCCCTGAATTGTTCTCTCTTTATATCATCAGAAGAATTTAGAGGAGTCACGATTGTGGAGCTAATCAAAAAGGAAGGAAGCACCCTCGGATTAACTATTGCTGGTGGCACAGATAAAGATGGGAAACCAAGGGTCTCTAATCTAAGGCCAGGAGGACTGGCAGCAAGGTAAGATAATTACAGATGCAGAGTTTCTCAGTTGCAAGGTTGGAGAATGATATGTAAAGCAAGAGTAAACTAGCAAGTCAGATAGTCAATACAATACACATCAAATGTCAAACAAATGGAAATTTTTGTAGAGATTGTCAGTCATCCAAGTCATAGTTATCCCAAAGGTGCTTTTTCAGGAGGCAACCAGACTTTCCTGTTCCTTCCCTGATGATGCTTTGCTTCTCATCCAAGCCACGACAGGGCAGTGGAGAATGGAAGGATCCATATTCCTTGCAGACAGCTGGCAATAATAGGATGCAAATTACTAGGTGTCTGTGAGGAATACAAATCTCTCTGGGAAGACATATTTCACTTAATTTCCTGCTAAGTATGTAGTGTTAGGGACACAGTGGCTCAATGGCTAAGACACTGAGCTTGTTGATCAGAAGGCCAGCAGTTCAGCAGTTCAAATCCCTAGTGCTGCATAATGGGGTGAGCTCCTGTTACTTGTCCCAGCTTCTGCCAACCTAGCAGTTCAAAAGAATGTAAAAATGCAAGTAGAAAAATAGGAACCACCTTTGGTGGGAAGGTAACAGTGTTCCATGTGCCTTCAGCATTGGATCATGACCATGGAGACATATGTGGACAGCACTGGCTATTCGGCTTAGAAACGGAGATGAGCACCATCCCTAGAGCTGGAAATGACTAGCACGCATGTGCTTTACCTTTATGTAGTGTTTAAGTGGCATTGCATTTTGAGCTTCTTCTTAGGATCCTAGCTTGGAATGACTTATTCCTTCTACCCTCCCTGCTAAAATAGGTTTTGCAGATAGGATTTAAAACTGAACATCATAAAACCTTTTATTTTCTCTGTTGCCATATATGTTTGTTTGTTTTAAAAAAGATGGACAACTCAGGTATTAAGTAAGATTTGTTTTTTTTGCTCTGCGTGTTGTTTACTGTTCAGATCTTTCTATTTAGCTAGTCAGTAAAGATATAGCCAGAGTTGATCCAAGACATTTTGGTGACTGGAAAGGACAATAATCTACCCAGGGCCTGCTTGTATGGTTTATACCATTGAATAAAGAAAACAACCAGGGAATTTAAAGCAAAAATAATAAAACTCTCTGCCTGCCTTTGTTATCTGAGACAATTATTGCAAGACTATAATGTCTAGCCCTGGAAAAAACTTAAGATATTTTGCTTTGTATGTTACAGGAGTGATCAGCTAAATGTTGGTGATTACATCAAGTCAGTGAACGGGATTAACTTGACAAAATTGCGACATGATGAAATTATAAGCCTACTGAAGAATGTGGGAGAAAGGGTAATATTAGAAGTAGAATATGAGCTACCACTAGCTGGTTAGTATATCCTTAATAAAGCTTTACGGTTCAGTGTTTTAAGATTAGGGAACTTCCTTATCCTTTCCACCCCTTTCCTTTTGTGAAGAAACATACAAACATATGAAAGTGACTTTACCATGAGACCAGTAATCCTACTTCAGTTGGTAGTAATTTCTCTAGCTGTTCAGGATGTTCCAGCCTTGGCATCTGAAATTCTTTTACTTGAAGTGACATTTTGCCAATAATTTCTTACATAAGGTGATTACAGTGGATTCTGCTTTTATCTGTCTGTTAATTATTGGATGTTGTTGGGTATATAAAATAGATACTAGAAGCATCAATAAGCAGACCACACATTAGATTTTGTTTCATGATTATAGCAATAACACTGGGACTTATATACCACTTCACCGGGCTTTACAGCCCTCTCTAAGTGGTTTACAGATTCAGCATATTGCCCCAACAGTCTGGTCCTTATCATTAAAAAAATGATTTGTAAGTTTATATATTGTTCCTCAGGAGCCGAGGTGGCGCAATGGTTAAATGCAGCACTGCAGGCTACTTCAGCTGACTGCAGTTCTGCAGTTCAGCTGTTCAAATCTCACCGGCTCAGG